GAGCTTCCAGATGTTCAAGCTGGATTTAGAAAAGGCAGAGGAACCAGAGATCAAATTGCCAACATCTGTTGGATCACTGAAAAAGCAAGAGAATTCTAGAAAAACATGTACTTCTGTTTTACTGACTATGCCAAAGCCTTTGACTGTGTGGATCACAACAAACTGGAAAATTCTTCAAGAGATGGGAATACCAGACCACCTGACCTGCCTCCTGAGAAATCTGTATGCAGGAAAAGAAGCAACAGTTAGAACCGGACATGGAACAATGGACTGGTTCCAAATTGGGAAAGGAGTATGGCAAGGCTGTATATCGTCACCCTGCTTATTTAAGTTACATGCAGAGTACATCATGTGAAATGCCAGGCTGGAGGAAGGACAAGCTGGAATCAAGACTGCCAGGAGAAGTATCAATAACCTCAGATATGCAGATGACACCACCCTTATGGGAGAAAGCAAAGAGGAACTAAAGAGCCTCTTGATGAAAGTGAAAGAAGAGAGGGAAAAAGCTGGCTTAAAACTCAACAATCAAAAAAAAAAAAAAGATCATGGCATCAGGTCCCATTGCTTCAAGGCAAATAGATGGGGAAACAATGGCAAAAGTGACAGACTTTATTTTCTTGGGCTCCAAAATCACTGCAGATGGTGACTGCAGCCCTGAAATTAAAAGACGCTTGCTGCTTGGAAGAAAAGCCAAGGCAACATATTAAAAAGCAGAGATATTACTTTGCTGACAAATGTCCGTCTAGTCAAAGCTAGGTTTTTTCCAGTGGTCATGTACGGATGTGGAATTAGACCATAGACAAAACTGAGCACCAAAGAATTGATGCTTTTGAACTGTGGTGTTGGAGAAGACTCTTGAGAATCCCTTGGACTGCAAGAAGATCAAACCTGTCAATCCTAAAGGAAATCGGTCTTGAATATTCATTGGAAGGACTGATGCTGAAGCTGAAACTCCAATACTTTGGCCACCTGATGTGAAGAACTGATTAACTGGAAAAGACCCTGATGCTGGGAAAGACTCAGTGCAGAAGAAGGGGACGACAGAGGATGATATGGCTGGATGGAATCACTGACTCAATGGACATGAGTTTGAGCAAGCTCCAGGAGTTGGTGAGACAGGGAAGCCTGGAGGTACTGCAGTCCATGGGGTCACAAAGAGTCGGACAGGACTGAGAGGCTGAACTGAACTGACACTTCTGAACTTCACTGTACTTTGATCCCAAGAACTTCCAACTGAAAGTTTATAACCTTTGACCAACATCTCCCCATTTCCCTCATTCGCTAGCCCCTGGAAACTACCATTCTAATCTGTTTCTATGAGTTCACTTTTCTAGATTCCACCTATAAGTGATATCACAGTATTTGTCTTTCTCCATCTGACTTATCTCATTTAGTATCATGTCCTTGAGATCCATCTATATTGTTGAAAATAGCAGGATTGCCTTTTTTCTCATGACTGAATAATATTCCACTGTGTGCATATACACACCACATCACCTTTATCCATTCATTCACAGATGAACTCTTCGATTGTTTTCTTATCTTGGCTATAGTGAATAATGCTGCAATGAACTTGGCAGCGTAGGTATCTCTTTGAGATCCTGTTTGCATTTCCTATGGATATATACTCAGAAGTGGGATTGCTGGATCATACAGAAGTTCTATTTTTAATTTTCCAAGGAACCTCTCTATACTGTTTTCCATAGTGCCTGTACCAATTTACATCCCAACCAACAGTCACAAGGGCTCCCTTTTCTCCATAGTCTCCCCAACACTTGTTATCTTGTCTTTTTTATGCCAGTCATTCTCGCAGGTGTGAGGTGATTGCATTGTATTTCATTTGAACAGGACTGCTCCACAGACAGAAACTTTCACCCACTGAACACTGAGATAATACTCCGAAATACACTATTGCAGCTGTGTATACTACAGCAAAATCTTTCAAGTTTTCAGTAGTTCATCTGTCAATAGCCTAATGAAGGGCAACAGAATTTAGAGACCAGTGAAATATGTTGAATGTCTAAGGGACAAGTGAAGAGAAGAAGGCAAGGAATGGCCACTCTAGTGTACAACAGAGTCATAACATATGACCAAAAAAACTGCATAAAAAATAAGACTATTCAGAATTATTCATAAAAATGTTTAAAATTATCTACGAAGTAAAATAAACATGGTTTTGTGTCAAGAACAAGTTCACATTTCCCATCTCAAGTTTTTGACAGGGTGAAACCTCACAGAATTTTATTTTTCTTTTACAAATGGGTGTTCCTAAAAAGATAGTGTTTCACTCAAATCTGACAGAGAAATATAAATTAAGGAATGTTTTAAGAAAATCTTACAGGCCAGAAATAGACCCACACAAATACAGTCAACTGATCTTTGACAAAGCAGCAAAAGCAACTCAGTACAGAAAGGATGGCCTTTTCAATTGGATATTAAGATGAAAAAAAAAAAAAAGAATGCCCAATACAGACCTTACCCCTGTCACAAAAATTAACTCTAAATGGGTCACACACCTAAACGTAAAGCACAAAACTATGCAACTTCTAGAAGATAACACAAGAGAAAAATCAGGTAACCTTAGGTTTGGTGATGACTTCTTAGCTGTAAAACCAAAAGCACCATCTATGAAAATTTGATAACTTGGAGTTCATTAACAATAAAAACTTCAGCTCTGCCAAAATTGCTGTTAAGAGAATAAAAACATGAGCCACAGATTGGGAGAAAAGTCTTTACAAGAAACACATATGATAAATACACAAAGAACTCTTAAAATTAACTCAACAAGAAGAAAACAACCTGACTAAAATATATGCAAAAGACCTGAGCAGAGAGCTCATAAAATAAGACAGCTGTCAAATAAGCATATGTAAAGACGCTCAACGTCATCTGGCCGCATGTGTGCATGTGTGCATGTGTGCTAAGTTGCTTCAGTCATGTCCAACTCTTTGTGACCCCATGAACTGTAGCCCGCTAGGCTCCTCTGTCTATGGGATTCTCCAGGCAAGAATACTGGAGTGAGTTGCCATTTTATGCTCTAGGGGATCTTCCCCACCCAGAAATCCAACCTGGGTCTCCTGTATTGCAGGCAATCTCCTGCATTGCAGGTGGATTCTTTACCAACTGAACCACCAGGGAAGCCCCAATGGAAAACTACTCAGCCATAAAAAGAATAAAATTTGACATTTGCAGCAACATAAATGGACTTGGAGTGGCATTATGCTAAGTGAAATAAGTCAGAGAAAGACAAATACTATATGCCATCACTTACATGTGGAATCTAAAAAACACAACAAACTAGTGAATAAAACAATAAAGAAGCAGATTTACAGATACAAAGAACAAAATAGTAGTTACCAGTGGAGAGAAGAAAGAGAGGGCAATATAGGGGAAGGTAGAGAAAAGGTTATTATGGAATTAAGTAAAATCATGTGTGTGAAACTCCCTAAAATTGCATAGCACTATAGAGTTTATTTATTAATTTTTATTTTAAGCTTTTATTTTGTATTGGAGTATAGCTGGTTAACAGCTATAGCTGTGATGGTTTCAGGTGAACAGTGAAGGGACTCAGCCATATATATACATGTATCCATTCTCCCTCAAACTCCCCTCCCATCCAGACTGCCACATAACACTGAGCAGAGTTCCATGAAAGTACTATAGAATTTAAATAATCATTTATTCAATTAAAAAAAAAATTCTTGGATTTAAATACCAGTTCTACCACTTGCAATGTAATATAGAAAAGTTGCTTAGCCTCCCTATGCTTTAGTTTCTGTCTCTGTAAGATGTATGCCACAGTTCAACTCACTGTGTAACCTGGGCAAGTGCCTTCACCCCTTTTGCTTTCAGTTCCCACATCAAGCAATGTTCTAAGCAGTAACTCAAGACACATGTATAAGGTCAATAGCACTGGCTTGTTTACACTTTATGCTGAAAAGTGACAACACCGTAGCTGAGCCTTGAGTACAGCTACAGACTCAACCCTTTTCTGAGCCTACGTGATATCTTGGTTGGAAAGGCTTCCTACTGCCATAGGAACAATAAGGATTATCTTTATATCCACAATTTATTCAGGCAACGTGGAAGGCACTGTCAATGAGAACTTGAAAGAACGATTTAAAGTACAAATTTAATGTACTTACACACACACGACAGACTGGACCATTCTAACTCAAACTGCGAGAAGTAAAAACCTCCATGAGAATCCATTTCTAAAATGAAGGCATCCACTACATTTAGCCCTACTGCTAGGAAGGGCACATAAAACTAGGAGAGGATGCCTGTCAGACAGGACATTCAAGTATGGGAGGACTAAAGCAGCAAACCACTTTCAACTTCAAGTTACGGTGTACAGGCACAGAGACTCTACTTTCAACACTGCATTTTCAATCTAACAGTTTAATGAGGAATGGAGTCCAGGGAAAAACTGGACCACTGACTGATAACAAAGAAAACTATAATTCAGATCAAAGGGAAATAATGTAAAAATCATGGCATCAAACAGATTGGGAATCAAATTCTGACTGGGTCATCTCCCACTGGTGTAAATATCAGCAAAGAACAACTCTCTGATCCTGAGCTGCCTCCGCTGCTAACAAGAATTGTGATGTTCACCTCACAGGAAGTGGGAGAATTAAATGAGAAATCAGGTATGCAGCATCCAGCACCATGTCCAGCTCACGATCCCTGCTCAACAAACACGAGTTCCCTCCCGTTACCATCCATGCCCCTTTTATATCAGCAAGCATCATAAAAGGGTTTGGAAAGGCATTTCCTTGGGTCTGGATTCATAAATTTGGGTGTATTTTGCAGGCAGACTCTCTGAGATAACAAGCCTGAGTCACACAGGCCCAAGATCTGGTGAGCAGCCTGACCTGGATCAGTGTGGACATCTGGCTCCCAGGCCAAAGCCCAGAAAGACTGGCTGGGCCCAGAGGGCAGCACAGGTGGCCAGGAGACAGCCAGAAACCAGAGCAGCCGAGAAGAGGGAGGATTACTTGAGCTTCGGCTCCCGTCCTTCGCTCGTGTACTGCCAGCAGATGAGCCCGATGAGGTCCTGCACCCTGGCGCTGGCCATGGTCACCACCGTCATTGGCAGCAGTCTGTCCTGGCTTGAGTGCAGGGGGAGGTAGACATCGATCTTCTTGGTCGCTGTTGTGCCTACGTGACCCTGTGGACAGAGCACAGGCGTGAGGGTAAAGCACACAGTTCCGGTCACGCAGACCCCACTGGGCCACGACGGCTAGCTCCAGGACCTGTGTTCTCATTCTCTGGGCACAGACCAACCTAGGAGCCTGGGGTGGTCCTGAAGGGGAAACGTTTATGGTTTTAAGAGTGTATTATTTTTTCTTTTTTAATTAGAATTTTCTGCCACTCGAATGGATCCAGCTCTGCCAGCAGTAAGGTAAATGAGCACTACAACTAAGAACAAATGAGAGTGGTAAGCAGACCTAATGCTTGGTGTCAGGAGACTTGCTCTGCTGCTTATTCAGAGTGACCCTGGCATCAGCTGCCCTCCCTGAAAACTGCTATATCACTCCCTGAGACCTTAGGCTAAGCTGCCATATTCTCTGAGGAAGCATTTAGCAGTACTGGAACCAAGTGCTTTCTTTCTCGGAGACGATGGGGGGCTAACTCCATTATGCAGTACATCTCTTTACTTCACTCATCTGAACTAAAGTTCAAGGGTCTCTGGTCTTATTACTGCCCTAACAGCCACACTCACACTGACCTACATGTCCCTAATCCCTCCCCCACACCTCTCTCTCCTCCCTCCCAAACCTTCCACTCCCCTCTGGAACTCCTGCAGGAATCAGCAAACTCCCCATGAATCAAAAGATGTCTTTGTGAAAAACATTCCTCCACCTCTTTGCCGTAATCGAAACCTGCCAGTCTTGAGGATGCTTCCTCCTCTACTGTCCCGAAGACTTTTGTTTTGTTCTTCTTAGCCTCCAAACCTTTAAGGCCAGCAGGCAGAGTAGGTATTCTCGGCCCTGTTATGTCCAAACTATTAATTCTCCTTTCTTACAAAAACAAAACCCCTGTTCCTTTGAGACCCAAGCCACCCAACTGCACCATCTTCTCCCTCTCCTTTCCTGTTTCTGTTACCCACCAGCCTTTGGTCATCCTGCTCCCTCACTAAGGCCTGAGTTCTTGGTCAGTCTTTCCCACTCCCAATTCCTGTCATCATTCTAAAAGAACAATCTGTCCAATACCCAAGGCTCTCAATCCCTAGACCATGTCACTCCCAAAGCCTTTTCATCCACTCCTCAAATCACTGATTGCGCTGGGTACACTGGAGATTTATAACAACTCCAATATCTCAAGTCAGAACACCTACTCACTGAATACACTTTAAAATTTTTAAGTAAATTAATTGGTTTGTTTTTAAACTTGGGCCTTGCCACGTACCTTGTGGGATATCTCAGTTCCCTGACCAGGGACTGAACCTGGGCAGTGGCAGTGAAAGTGCTAAATCCTAACCACTAGACCACAAGGTTAAAACCTGAATACACTTTAATATACCTCTACCTCATTTATTCAAGAAGTCCCTCAAATTCTTTAACCTATATCTGTTGAACCACCTCTTAATTATCTATCAGTCTCCCTTATTTCCCAACACCCCACCCCCAGACTACATGAGCCATTATAGCTAATATAATCATTCCTTTGCAGATATAATTTTAAAAAATATTTTTATTTATTTATTTGGCTACACCAGGTCTTAACTGCAGCACATGGATCTTTGCTGCCATGAGCTGGATCTTTTAGCTGTGGCATGTGGGATCTAGTTCCTCAAACAGGGATCGAACCCAGGCCTCCTGCACTGGAGTGTGGAGCCTTGGTCACCGGACCACCAGGGAAGTTCCACAAACACAATTTTAATACTCTCTTACTCCCCTGGACACGGTCCGCAGAGCATCAGCCTTGTATGACCCCAACCCTCTGCATTCCTCAGCTGAACACGGGAGAGAAATCATGTAACCGCATAGATGGATTTCACTTTAAATCCCCTGACGATAAACCGCAAGCAGACAGCGCTGCACAGCAAGCCCACTTTGTCTGCTGACCCAGCCTGCACCCCGCCTGAAACCACTGCTGCACACCTGAGCCTCTCTCCTCGGACTTCCCACGAGCCATGCCCCTTGACCCTCAGACCCTGTCCTTCCCTCACGTACTGCCAACAGATGAAAGTACAGAGCACCCCTGAATGATACGGGTTTGAACTGCAAGGGTCCACTTGTAAGTGATTTTTCTCACTTCATACAGACTATAGAACTACACAATCCACAGTTTGTTGAATCTGTGGATACCAAACTGCATCACCAAATTTGATTATGTTACACTCCTGTTGAAACTCCTTCATTGAGTGGCTCCTATGATACTTTGAATCAAATCCAAACTCCAGGCAGTGTGCAACAAAGCACTGCATGATCTGACCCCCGCCTAACCCTCCAACGTCATCTCCTGCCTCTCTTCCCCCACCCCACCTACTTCAGCTACCCTGGCCTTCTAGGAAGGTCCTGAATGTGTGTGCCTTGACTGCTTCTTCCCCCTCTAAGGCCACTGGGAGTGTTACTCATTTATCTAGGAGGCTCTTTCTTACGACTTTTGCATCCTCTAACATGTGGCCTCAGGCTGGTTACTGAACTCTCTTCTCTTCCTCTTTCTCATACAGAAGGTGATAACGATAGGATGCACTATCTATCAGAGATTTCTTATGAGGATTGCTACTATTGGTATCATTTATTCAAGGCTCATCTCACACCGCACCTCCTCAGAGAAACCTCCACTGATAATCCTATAGAAAGAAGACCTTTCCACAGTTACTCTCACACTTGTCTTGTTCATTTCCTTCATAATGCTTAACAATGTGATATGACGTATTTATTTATGTGCATCTTCAGTGTGTGCCTTCCCCACTAGCCTCTGAGCTTCCATGAGGGCAGCCATAAGAATGTTTGCTTTGTTTATTGCTCTGTACACAATGGCCAGTACTGTGCCTGATGCACAGAAGACTCTCCAAAGAAAAATCTGTTGAACTACAGAATGAATGCATGAATGACTCAAATGCCTACTGGGACACATGGTAGGAACTCAATAAATGTTAGTTTCTTCCATTATCCCACTTGTTCTACTTCTATGGGCCTGTTCCTGGTAGCAGATGGAGATGGAGGGACTTGAGCAATCAACTGGTTCCATCTTTAACACCCTATACAGGATTGTATCGATCTAAAGGTGGGAAAAAAATATCAGAACTAGGGTAAGGAAATACACAAAATTAGTTGAGAAAACATTTTTAGAGAAATTCCACTTCTCATATAACCCAGCATCTAATATTAGATCCATAGGGTTGTTTTGTTTTGTTTTTTACTGTCTTCCCTCTATGTTATAAAAGCAAATAATACAAAAGATAATTCTCCTACATAAAGCTCTCTCTCATGCATGCACACATGTGTACATACACACACACACACAGTTTTTAGCTTGGAATTAACAACTTCAATGACTAGCAAAGATGTCTCTAAACAGCAAGTGTCATCTTGTCAGGCAGTCAAAAGGTTAAAATGAAAACAGCTGCAGTCTTTCTGGAGTAGGTTTATACAGCCTCCAACCACTCTCTTCTCAAATTCATTTTCAGACCCCCTAGTTGCTGTCACTGCTCTCCCTTCCTATTTCTGTTTATCCCTCCTCCTTTCCTGGAAGAACTGGGAACTGAAGGGCTATGGGAATCACAGTATCTCAAGATACAAAGACTCAATGAAATGACAAATGCAAATGTACTTTGTAAACTATAAAGTGCTTTAGAAATGCAGTGCAATATCTAGAAAGGGCCTAGTTTTTATAATCAGACCAATTTCTATTACTTAAGTCTATTAAAGGTCACATGAGGCCAAAGATGGATGCTGTAGGAGTCCTATTAATATCTATTATTATAATAATAGATAACATTTATTTACAGCTAAGGGTTAAATAAACTCTGCTAAATGTCTATCTAAGTTATTTAATTCTCACAATCACTATAAGAGGTAGGGTTCTACCATTACCCTCATAAATATAAATGAGAAAACCAAAGCTTATAAGGCTACAGTCATCAGCTCAAGATCTCATAACCGAAGTGAAAAGCCAGGACTCAAATCCATGTCTGTCTGACTCCAAAGCCTCCACTCTAAACATCAGCATCTTCTTTCACTAAAGTTATCCTAAAGAGAATCAGTCTCCACTCTCCAAGGCTGGACAACTGTCTCCTGTTCCTTCTCAAAAACATGCCAAAAACACTGCCATTTCCTAGAGAGGGAACACTCTAAGGAGCTGCCCAAAGAGAAGCAGGGAGGACTGCAACTCCAAAGATCACTGCCACTGTCAGCTGAATGCAGGGAGTCATCATTGTCTAGGAAATGAAAGCAGATAGTTATATGGTACCCTCTATTTCATAGTGAAATAGCAAGTGTGGGGAAAACTATGAGAATAAATGCGGCACATACTTATTAAATGAATAAAGCACTTTATCTTTTTAATCTTCTAATTCCATCTTGAGGCACTGATGACGGGGGGAAAATGCCTTGCACAAACCTTGAAATTATGTATTTTTTAATAAGAAGCCTCTTCTGAAAAAACTCAAGGTGGTGGCAGTTAGCTCTATCTAATAGTCCCTGTGTTGCAATATTTAGGGAGAATCATCTAAAACATGAAACAATCCATCAACATAATAGAAAGTAATTAACTTATTTAAAAAAAAGAAAGGTGACCAAAGGATTAAAAGTATTCATCACACATCAAGGCAAGCAATATTCCAAAGAGCTAACATCTAACTATTAAAAAGCAACTAGCGAGCAATAAACAAAGATCCTATCATACAGTTTCACTGTGTGGCAATTTATGTGTTTCACAATACAGAAGTGGGGAAATGGAGGCATAATTAGAACACAAGGAAAGGGTCACAACAGAGACAGGGGAAACTGGTTTAGCTCCACCCTTCCCAGTCTCTCATGCATTCAACAAACACCCACTGGAACGCCATATTGGGCTCTGAAGACAAAGTTAAGACACAGTGCAGATCTTCATCAAATTCATGGTCTGCTGAAGATCTATACTGTACAATGTGTGAAGAGCTGTAAGAGGGAAAGTACAGGCTACTATGAGAGCTCAGAAGCGATGTAGACTAAAGAC